CCCCAAAACCCCAAAACCCCAAAACCCCACTACAACGAATTCAAGCGAATAAATTTATTAGTAATTGTAATAATAAATTAAAATGAGCAGCAATATTAGACGCTTAAGTGATCTTAATAGTAGAGATAATATGGAGGCAAGACCTTTAATTAGAGGAAGTCTAAGTTAGCCAGCAGCTAATTTCGTAACAAAAATTTTAAAGGAAAGCTTAAATCTTATTATAGATGACTAAGCCAGCAAGAGAAGAGAGATTTGTGGAGACGATTCATTATGCAATGTGTCCGTTCTTAAGTATAAAACAGTTCGTTTTTCTTATCTCTTTAATTTAATGCGGATTATATACTGCCTCAGTCGCCTATAAAGGTGTCAGTAATAATGGATTACTAGCGCCCCAGAGTGATGCTTTATTTGACTTTGGTGAGAAGGTAATTATCAACACATTTATTATATATTCTTATCTATAGTACCCTTACTACATGAAATATTAGTACTAAATTTGGAGATTTGTGATGCCAGTGTTTTTACATGGTGACTTTATTCATCTCAGTTCAAATTTATTATCACAGCTAATTATTGGATCTTATCTTGAATCTACAATCGGGTTTATTAACTTTGGCATACTATATATATGCTCAGGGTAAGTGATATAAATTTGCTAATACTTTATTAGAATCGGAGGAATCTTATTTTCCAGTTTAGCTACTGACTCTACCAGCGTCGGTGCTTCAACAGCTATCTTTGGGTTGATTGGTTCTTTTGTAAGTTAAAATATATCTTATTAAGAACATAGGCATCATATTTAATGGTAAATTGGAAAACTTTAGACAGAGCACCTGACCAAAAGTATCAGATTTTCATCTTTTTATTCCTCTCTCTGCTTTTGAACCTCAGCATGACATCCTCAAACACTAAGGTCGATTCACTTGGGCATCTTGGGGGGTTCTTGACAGGTATCATAATGGCTTTATTCCTCGGACATGTGTTACCTAACTCTGATGCAAGCTCTCAGAAATACTAAAAAATGCTCAGAATTCTAGGAATCGTTCTTACTATTGTCTATTTTGTCGGAGGCTTTGTTTTATTTTATACTTTGAGACAACCAAATATGTGATAAAAATACTTAAGGAAATTAATCTTTAAATCATAACTTATTCTAATTTAATTCATTGGTCACCTCAGTTCTAATTTCTTCACTTTCCAAATTTGATGTATTTGAGTGCATAGATACTGATTGTGAATAGGTTATCAGGAAATCCAGGTTAGATCTAATGCTTAACTATGCAAAAGCCTTCCTCTTCAAATATCTCCTGGAATAGCTTATCTGATCTAATCACACTGTTATCCTCTTTGTCCACATAAAAACTATCGTCATGAACATTCTCCTTGCAAATTAGCAAACTGTTCTCATCTCTCAGGTACTAGGAACACTTTCTCAGGAAAACTCTAATGTCTTTGTCAGTTAAGTAGCATAGAACCCACTAGACCCAAATGCAGTCATACTAATATTCGAATTCAAAGTCTTAGAGTCCTGTGCAATATATCCTATAAAATACAGATCAATGATTAGGTCATGTTTTGATATTAATAAAGTGTATTGGAAACATACTTATCAACTTTATCTGAGCCAATGAAGTCTCTTGCCTTCGCTAGAAGTTCTTTTGTTGGATCAAGCAGATCAATCTTCTCAAATCTCGATTCTAATATGTATTTGGTCACTCTACCAATGCCAGCTCCACAATCTAGAGCTCTTTAGATTCCTATAGTCTTCTTAAAGCCATCAAGTAAATTGTTAGAAGTTTCAGCATCAGCTGGGTGGCAGTCACCATACCCAGTTAATACACCATTTATGCTTGCTTCTTAGGTCTATATACGGTTTTGATACTAATATGGATAGATTTACACTCCAGAACTCAACTTGCTTTTTGTACCAATTGTCTCTATTACCCACTCTATTAATGATTTCCTCATCATCCTCTTCTTCATCTTCATCAGCTTCCCCCTCATCTGAATCTGGATTAATTCTCAGTTCTTTTTGCCACATCTCTTCTATGTTATCATATTCATTTCCAAAGTCATCTATTCCTCCAAGTACTTAAGAAAGTTTCACTAATAAGCAGCTTATTGAATTAGCTAATAAATCATACCCTGTTTTTTTCTGCTATTCATTTTGCTATTATATTAATTAGTATTGCTAAATGTGATCTTTATAATTATTTGTGATGGGGTTTTGGGGTTTTGGGGTTTTGGGGTTTTGGGGTTTTGGGGTTTTG